CCGCGGCAGTTGGGCTCTGGCGCGCTACATCGCCACATCCATGACGTTTACGCCGCCAGTCGCGTCAGGTGTTCGCCCCCAATGGAGCCTATGTAAGGGCTGCCGGCCTCGAGTCGGCGCGCTTCTCTGCCCTCGGGCGGAGGGAATCGCCAAGCACTTCTGCGCTGCTAGGATGCCGGGCGGATCGTAGGGTGCCTTGTGCACTCTGCACAGCAGTGTGGTCCGGCACGCTGCTCCGTCTGGCGGAGCGCTGGTTCGTGCCCGCTAGTTCGTACTCAATGGCACGACCGGGTGCGGATTGCAGTTTGTACCGCAGGGTGCCCTTGAGGCTACGACGCTGAATGATGGGAGATGGATGGTCACTCCAGCTATGGCATGATATGAGGATAGGCGGAAGAGAAGGTTACGCATGTACGTGAGTAATAAATGGGTAGTATTATACATTGTAGTTTGCTGGTCAATATAAGGGACCTAGGAGCGCGTTAAGTGAGCCCGATGAATGCTGGTCGGGCTTTAAAGGTAGCGCCCGCGTTCAAATTTTATGAGTATGCGGCTCAGGTAGTAATAGCGAGGTAGCAAGAAGCCTCTTAGTGAAGAAAAATCGAAGAGAAAACACGCAAAATGCCCTAGATGGAGTTTCATACCGAACAACGGTTGTACGTGCTTAAGGCGAAGAGAAGCAGTGATTGCACGAGTTTCCACTTGTTCATATCAGCTGTTTCCCTTATCACCTCACTTTCACCACTCCACGTGGAGAGAGGAGCACAGGGAAGCAACCGCACCATTCAGGCAACCATTAGAAATGAAGTTGGGTGGCGTGGTCGGCAGTGGGCGGAGCCGTCGGCTCTTTGCGGGTGGACGCCGCTGTTCCGTCGCATTTTTGGGTTGCGAAACATGCACGTCCACCATCCTCATAGGGGGAGCTACTGGGTCCAGAGAGTGCGTGAGAACAACAAATGAACGCGGGCGCTTCCTTTAAAGCAGTTGGCACGATGAATCCCCCAAGACGAGTAGGATTAATACGCGTGGATTAATACGAGTAGGTTCTTAACTTGTTTTGCGCCTTACGAGGTTGATAGGTGGAACTATTTATTCAATATGGCCTAACGTTTCGACTGAATCGTCGTCATCAGAGGCCGACGGTTCCACCTTATTAGGGACAGTGTCCGCAGCACACACAGAGCGACAGTAGTTATAAACTATAACGATTTATAACTAACTGTCGCTCTTGTGTGGCTGCGGACGCTGTCCCTAATAAGGTGGAACCGTCGGCCTCTGAATGACGACGATTCAGTCGAAACGTTAGGCCATATTGAATAAATAGTTCCACCTATCAACCTCGTAAGGCGCAAACAAGTTAAGAACTTACATCTGAAATGCCGAGGTGTGCGAGAAGGAGAGAAGCTGGAGAATACGAGTAGGATTAATACGTGGCAGGACAGAATTCCGCGAGCCATGAGCAGGCGGTACATAGCGCCTTTTCCGAGGAAAGAGCCCTTATTAAGGCGCTATCAACGACATACACCATACCGACCCAAACGCCCACCACGCCCGCCCGTCACAAATGAAGACCGTTCCTGACGCTCGTATTGATTCGTTTGCCGAGAAATTCTGAAGTGAAGGGTTTGGTATGAAGCGGTGATGCTGCGTGGACATATTAGTACACATATTCTGTCATCGGGGCGGGCAGTTGATTAGGGCGGTCGTCAACGGGCCGACGCGGTGCAGGAATATTTGCTTTTCCCAGGCTAATTCAGTCATTTTTTTCCACCGTTGTGAAGATAAGGAGCTGCTAATCGGAAAAAGTAGCCAAAATAGTGAAAAGTTGGAAAAATGACTAAATAGCCTGGAAAAAGCAAATAGTTCCTGGCACGGCGCTGGCGGGCCCGTTGACGACCGCCCTGATAGCAACTGCCGCGAGACGAGGGTACGTAGCTGTAACTTTGGTGGCGGTTATTGACAAGATGCCTATGGGAAACTTGTTCAAAGTTGGTTTCTAAGTCACTGAAAGCGGAGGCAATTTCTTCGCACGATTTTGACCGTTTCATTCCGTTCTTTCGCCATCTCCCCACTTTACAGCGCCCTACTAGCATTTTAGGCCGAGTACCAAATAATCGTGCCAACTGCCTTTGAGGGATTTGGTTCTTGTTATGGTCATTTGGTTCTTTCGGTTATGCCGGTTGGCTAAATGTGGGCCGGTTAAGACAGGCTGCGCCAGTGTTGGGGGTCCGACCGACCTAGTTCACTACGGAAAGGAGGAAGGGGACTCACTACGGGGATGTACCCGGTAGGGCTGCCGCCCCCTGCAGCCTACCACGGCAGCGGTGGCTATACCGCGTAGGAAAGTATAGTCTGCGAGAAGAACCGTAAGACAGTGTTGATCGTTGGCGAGCCGCGGGGCTCGTGAACTACCGATAAGCCGTGGTGGAGGGCTGGTAGGGCGGCCGTTCCCCGATTTGTGACGAAGCTTCTGTCGGCGCTGTTTGGCGACGGGGAGGGGGATTTTGCACTTTAACGACTTTCTATCGACGTGTCGACCCATCTAGACAGCCTCTTCTCGAGTTGATAGGTTTTACCATGATTGTTTGACGAGCTTGCTCCAGCTTCAAAAGAGTTCACAGGTTTCAACATAGTGAGACTTGTAAACCAGAATTAGTGAAGCAACGAAAGTGCAAAATGCCCCCCTTCCCCCCGTCAGCAAAAACTGCCCCGCCTCTGCCTATCCTGGCTTGTTTGAGCATGAGAAAGTGTGTGCTTGCAGGAGATCTCACTTGTTGGTATCATATCAACATCAGCTTCTTTCCCCTGTAATTTCATTTTCACCATTCGGGATAAAAGAGCTAGTAGCGAAGCAGGCGCAACATCGTAGCATCTATGAATTGAACGCCGGTGTAGCACGTGGGCAATGGGGCTAAGCTCTTGGGCGGAGCTTGGCCTCTGCCGGGATCTGTGAACGGGTACCGTCCTTATCCCCTGCTTTCTAAGTCTAAGGGAAAGGAACCTTCCAGTGAGCTCCCGCGCTCTGTACCTTCATCTCTGTCGATGTATGTTGTCTCTCTGGTTCTCGCCGGTCTGCATTCTAACTCGTTGGGCGTACGCGAATATGGTGCAAGGCAGAGTATAATCGACAGCGGCGCAACATAATCTCTCTCGCCAGTACTGGAGGGAAGAAGTGGGGAGCAAGTAGAGGCTAGAATAAATAGACCAAGGGTGTCTGTAGGGGTAAAGGTAGAACGCGGAGGTCTGGTGATGGATATCTCCCCTTCAAGACGAGCATAGCATGTGGCCTTGGTGAACGTGGGAAGTATTAGGTCATCCCATTCAAAAGTGCCGATGACTTATTCACATAAAACGAAGAGAAAAACAGATAGGGAAGTAATACTTTGGCTTTGAGTTTAGTAGATCCTCCTTCACCAATGACCCGCTGCCAGTGCCCCGAAAGCGTCCGGACCTCTGGTGCCCTCGTTTTTTCAACAAGTGCGAGTAAATTGCTGTTGATGCCAATTTCCGCGAATGTCAAAACGTTGTGGCGTTTGCCGTCAAAGAGTACCTTCGACTGGTTAGAGCAGTTGAAAACGAACGGCTTTATGTTGGACGAAAGATGTGATTGAACCAAGGTCTCATAGTCAGCATTGTTTGACTGCCCTACAATACAGTTACTAGGATCTGGCACTATGACTAGCAATGGTCTTCTTGTAGTTGTGTGGTACCATCCATTTGTCGATCTGACTGCCGAGAAACAGGCAATATACACCGACAGCGAAGATTTTATTCTCTGTATGGAGCCGCCAGGAAGCCACAGTGTGGGAATACTTCGCTATGATGATCATGCACTTGCGCCCACAAACTCCTCATGGAGAACTTCCGCGGCTTCTCATCTGCATTCATGCAAAATTGACGATTGTGAGTTTTAGCTCGAGGTAACCATCCGTATCTCATTTGGGGCCGGGGGGCATTTTTGGAGTCGCAAATGACATCTCATGCTGAAAATATTACTGCTAGAGGCACAGAATCGGCACTGCGTTCGTGCTTCTACAAGGCAATTAGATACCCATGAGCACACCCTCTTGACCGTACTCAATTAATCCGACATAACTCAGGCAACAGTTGCAGCAGAGATGTCAGTCTTGTGGGGAAGCTCGACAAAGGTCCAAGCTCTGTGATCAGACTTTCAGCGCTTTACTTCATCCACCCTTTTTTTCTTCTGCATGGTGAACATTGTGGGCCATCCACGACAACAATTTTTTCTTTCCTTCTTCCTTCTTCGGGCTCCTGAACCAAACCTTCCACCTTGTATTTCGAGAACACCATTACACACAACTACTGGTCAGATGCAGGTCAAATCTGAGCAGCGCACTCCCCTCTTATGACGCCTGATTTGATAATCCGGCGCTGATTTTCACCACTCCGGCTTCTTTTCAATTTCTTGAAAACTTCCTCTGTGGGTAGGTTCACCAAATTTTACAGGTAAATGGCTAAAGGTAGTAGTCTCCAAATGGAATAGTAGCCCGCTGCCCTATCCCCTTTGTTTTTCTGCCATTCCTCTATATGTCTCGGCTTTTTTGAATGGGATACCTAATACTTTCGACTCAGTCCGGAGATAGATACGGAGGTTCATATGTGACAATATCTCTCTTGAGAAAGCGAAACGCGGCTGGAAACAAAAAGGGTCCGCAACAGGGATCTCACGGTGACGGTGCGACGCTCAGAAGACGACACCAAACTTAGTGAAGATGCGGGAGAAACCTTACGAACTCGAAGTTCAGGTCTGATCAACATTAGTGATCTTCAATTCTAATGCATGATTGCGCGTAGCCTCAGTATTCAAATTAGCTTTTTTTGCCGTTAACATCTAGTTTGGGGTAGACCTCTGTAATTTTTAGTTTTATTGGGAACAGTCGTTCCCAAAGTGATATATATTTTCAACATTTCACGTGTATTCGTCGCTGTTTTACAGAAGCATCCCATTACCTCCTTTATCCCTACCTATACATTCTAGAATGGCCGGAGGCGCAACGCGGAACGCAAGAAAATCGAGGAAGCGGAAGAATTCGGAGGACAGTACATCGGCTGCCCCATCAAGGACTCTCAAGGTAGCTATTATATTTAATGTTAAAAAACACTGTTGCTGTCTCAATCAATCTTGGTGGGATCGCAGTTGTCCTGTTGTGATTGCACGGAAGGAACTAAATACGAAGAACTCCTTAGTGAGTTAGTAAACCTTACCAGCAGAGCTTATCGTGCCTATGGGGAAAACAGACGTGTCAGTACAACTCTTCTTCAAAAGAGTGAGTTACTTAGTTTCACCCCCTCAACCCTTTTTCAGCATAAACTCAGAAATTCCGCTCTCTTAGCATTACTACGGGCGTGGTCACCTTGCGTGCATTGTGCTGGAGCAGATTATCTCGCCAAATCATCGGAAGCTCGCGATATTCTTTCTCCAAAACAAGTAATGGGCTCGCCCACGACTGGCAGCATTTTTTTAATGGTATTTTTGTCTAGAGATAATACATTCATTCAACGCCTTCTCCACTGTTAGGAAGATATTTCATGCTCTCAAGCAGAAAACGCTTGGGTGTTTGTGCTCATTTTTTAGTACTGGCTGCAGTACATGTGGGTGGCAGGCTTGCGCTTGATTGAGCGATTAAAGTAGCAAAAGCAGCTTCATAGTCGTTAATTGTATGGTAGAGAAAGATTCTCACGACATTTTCAGTACAGTCCAAGCGATTCGGAGTTGAGATTTTCCCTCGCAACATTGTATTGCACCGGGCGCCTTCTTGGTTTGATGAGAAACAACTCTAGGCGGAACCAAGTTGTTTAGCCTCTCTTACGAAGTAAAGGTAATGCTCACTGAAAGCGCAGAGCCATCCCCTAGACTGATAACTCCTATAATTGGCATCGTGGTCCGTCATGACCGTTGAAGTGAAGTTCTGATCTGTCCTAATTAGAAGAAGAATTAAACTTACCACAAAGGTCGTTTAAGACGTCGAGCGCTTTTTAAAAGCGGTTTTTTGCATGATGTGGGGTCATGTTCATGGAGTAGCAAACTGATGCTCATTTTTTCCAAACGCCTCTGGGAATACCAATTAAGGAGTGAAAAAGAATTCCATGGAAACCGACTGCCTTTAAGCCTCAATGGGCTCTAAATCACTGGCAACTTTGACCAGTTGCTGAGTGGAGGGTCCTTATAAAGGTACTATAGGAATCGAAAAGGAAAATAGTCGCAAATGGGGTCTTAACTGAGGCACGTGATTAAAAGTGAGCGGCTCGTCGGAATGGTTTCCTCAACGATCGGAGCGGTATTCAGCTGCAACGATCGGATGGCCTAGTGGATAGCGTGGAGAATTCTCAGTCAGACAGTGAGGGTTGGGGTTCATGGTTCGACTCCCCTCGGCTGGCAAGTTTTTGAATTCTTTATGTTCCGCTGTTCTCTACTCTGACTCTGACTTCCATATATGTCTTTTTATGAATTTTACTCGGATATCTATTAGGTTGTCCGGAAAGTCTCAGCGTTTTGGGTGTTTCACTTCAAACGATCGTAACTTTTTTAGTACTCATCGGATTTAATCGAAATAGGCACCATTCGAATCAGCACACTTTTGCCAATGTGATGACAATCAAGAAATCCCATCAAAGTGAAAAACTGGGTGGTCGAAAATTCACGAAATTCACTAGGGCTTTTTTGCCTGTCCTGATTGATGAACTATTTTCCAGCAAGGGAGTTCTGAAAATGTTAGAAAAGGTGATAGTCGATTGGTGAAAGGTCTGAAGAATATGGCAGTTGAGGTAGAACTTCAACCCCCAATTCGTTCAGTTTACGGATAATGATTTGTGAAACATGTGTGCGGCGTTGTCATGCAAAAGAATCGGACCCTTTCTTTTGATAAGTGTTGGCTTCTGACAAAATTTTCGGTACAATTCGTCGATTTCTTCACAGTAGGGTTCTGCTCTGATGGTTTGGCCTGGTGATAAAAAGTTATAATGGATCACACCAGCCGATGACCACCAAATCGTGAACAGCATTTTTTTTTTCGCGAAGGTTCTCCTTTGAAAATTACCTCGGTGGTTCGTCGAAATCTAACCACTGTCCGGAACGTCTCCTGTCATCATACATGACCCATTTTTCATCACAGGTGACAATTCGGCCCAAAAACAGGTCGCTTCTGATGCGCAAAAGCAATGCAGAAGAACCTCCAGACGTGCCGATTCCTGCCGGTCACTCCGACTGTGGGGCACCCAATTGTCGAGTTTTTTCACCTTCCCAATGCGTTCCAAACCATCTGCAACAGTGGATTTGTCAAGGCCTAGCTCTTCTGCTATCTCTCAAACTGTTTGGGATGGGTCACCCACCAAAATCCCCCTAAAATCCCCGTCAGATATTGCTTTAGGTCGACCGCTATGAGGTTCATCTTCAAGGCTGAAATCTCCAGAACGAAATTTGTTGAGCCATTGCCGCACAGTGCTTTCTCTAGCACTATTGGGCCCCCACACCTGGTTAATTTGTTGAGCTGTTTCGATTGCGGATTGCTCCAATTTATAGTCGAAGAAAAAAATTGTCCGAAGTGCTCTTTTCACATGCTTGAAAAAATCTTGAAAAAAGGGGGTTTATTAAGCAATGGTAAAACGGCAATTATACCATCAGATAGCGCAAGAAATTCTCTACAGGATGTGCTTCTGAGAAGCAAGGCAAAATGAGTTTTTAATCAGCAGTGAGTGTACAAAAAATAGTGCACAAAACGCTGAGAACTTTTTGGACAACCTAATACCATTTATAGGCACATTCTAAATAGTTATACCTCATTAATCGGGGCTATTCAACAATTCCTATTTTCACATACCATTAGGCAAGAACTTTTCTGAAGGTTGATCTACATATGTTATTCAGTGCCCTGATCACAACTACGGCATTTACTTTCAGCTGTAATGCCATTTATCGCCATTTCAAAGCCTCTTCTTTCTCCCTCTGGAGTCGCTATGTACACTCATTTAAGGGACCTTTAGGGCTATGACGCCAGACTGCGTCGTCAAAAATAAATGTCAGAATCGCGATCAGGACCATCGACTACCCCCATAGGCAAACGTTCGGCCAGAAAATTTTTTTGACTTTTTTTGGGTTTGTGTATTGGGTTATGCCCAGTGTCATTCTGTAGAAGTCGTAGTTTCCTCGTTACTGGGACCTTCCCGTTCACTGGTAAAACAAAACTAACAGGAAATAAACTTTATATAAAGAAGAAGAAGGAGGTTATCATTCCTACAGGTACATTTGAAAAAGTGGCGAAATTTGGAGGAATCTTTTTTGTCGGTAGGGGATGACAACATCTTTGTTGAGCAAGCAGTCGCTAGGGTTCGACAAATTAACGGGATGGTTTTCACTTGTTCTGCAGCCACACATGCCCATGCCAAGTATAAGTGGACCTTATGAGCACCGAAACCACGATACTGCTGCCCGGCGGCTCGCCACATCATCGTTACGTCATCACCGCTACGAGGGTATGAGGCTCCGGTCATCATTGCCGACCAAATGGTCTATCACAACCCAAGGGAGTCAAAATTCTTTTTTGGCCGAAAGTTTGCTTATAGGGGTAATCGCTGGTCGTGATCACGATTCTGACACTTATTTTTGGAGTCAGCGCACACTGAAAATCGGAATTGTTGAATAGCATCGATTAATGAGGAATAACTAATTAGAATGTGCCTATAAATGGTAGATATCCGAGTAAAATTCATAACATAGAAGTGCGAACAGCGGAATATAAAGAATTCAAAAACTCGCAAGCCGAGTGAAGTCGAACCATGAACCCCAACCCTCACTGTCCGATTGAAAATTCTCCACGCTATCCACTAGGCCATCCGATCGTTGTAGCTGATCGTTAAAGAAACCATTCCGACGAGCCGCTCACTTTTAATCACGTGCCTCAAGTAAGACCCCATTTGCGACTATTTTCCTTTTCGATTCCTATAGTGCCTTTATAAGGACCCTCCACTCAGCAACTGGTCAAAGTTGCAAGTGATTTGAAGCCCACTGAGGCTCAAAAACAGTCGGTTTCCACGGAATTCTTTTTCACTCCTTCTTTGGTAATCCCAGAGGCGTTCAGGAAAAATGAGCATTAGTTTGGTACTCTATGAAAGTGACCCCATATCATGCAAAGAACCGTTTTCAAAAAGCACTCCACGGCTGAGCGACCTCCCTGGTTAGGTAGGAAAACTACTGCAAATTAACAATGGTTTATTTCGTCCCTTACTTCATGAAATTAGAGAAAAAGAAAAGAAACATCGGAAAAAGAAACACTCCAAAGCACAGATGATCCGTTTCGCCTGTTACCGCAGACTAATCGTCGTTGTCGCCAACTCCAGGCTCTTCAGTGCGACAGGGTTGACGAAATGAAGACACGGTCTACATAGGGGAAAGACTAGAGAAATAAGCAATAAAGATGAGGTGAAAGGAATGGGGCGGAAAGTGAAAGAAAGATATCACGTGAAGTGAGTAACAAATACGTACGAGGAAACAAACTGAATTGCTTTCCATAGGCTAAACCACCTGAGGGATTATTGAGATAAGACATTTTTGAACGGATTACAAGAAGTTAAAACAAAAAAAACTGAAGTGAGAGTTAGTGTTGAACACCGCTACCATTGACAATACCTTTACCAGTCTATTTATCTTCCTTTAGTTATTTGCGACTAAGTATTTGTAACTTATAAATTTGTTTCTGTAAACACATTCCGCAATGCCAATACTGATAAATTCTTCTTTGTGGCCATTTCTCAAAAGCGTCGTGACAATATCCGTTATTTTACTTGCGAATATATCAGTGAACGAACAGGTGTTTGTTAGTCTTACAAGGGAGGTCGTTCAGGGCGTGGTGAGCTTTTTCAAAATGGTTTTGTGCATATTGTAGGGGCACGTACGAGGACCAGAAAACTGAGGTTCATTTTCGCTGCGCGCTTCTACGAATAAAGAAAACATAAAAAATAGGTCGATGGTTCAGATCCCACCAAGGACAAAATTTTGCTTTTCTACAATTTTTCATTTTTTGGACCCATGTTTGTATAAATAATTGGTCCTAACAAAAACATTCACGATAAATTGAAGAATCCTACTTTTATGGAGCGAAACTGCTTTTTCGTTCGAATTCGTTAGTATGCACAGACTCAGCTCTTCGGCGCTATGCCGGTGCCAGATGGCACTGGAACCGAAAATAAAGTGTGATCAGGACTGTCGATTACCCCTAGAAGCAAGTTTTGAGCGAAAATATTTTTTTGACTTTTTCGGGTTGTAGGTGACCGACCACTTGGCCGGCAGTGTGAGCAGAGTCTCACATCTTCGTAACAGCGATGACGTATCGTTGACGCTACGGACCCCGGACAACCCAATAAGAAACCCAAGGAGGTCGAAACAATTGTTTTGACCGAAAATTCGTTATTAGTGGTAATCAGTGGCCCTGATCA